AAGTTGTTTGTCCCATGAGAAAATTTGACAGTACTGAACTTGTTTCAGTTGGTGGATTCAGGAAGGGAAATTTCAAGTTAAATTATACTGGATGTGCTCTGGTTACTCAGAGACTCATCAGCTGTTTACTCAAGTATTTATCAGTTTTGTGAGTTGCTAATCCAGTACTAAATGAAATATTTGAGACATAAGGATACATAATTATTTTAAGATGCTCCTTATCTAGTTTGAGCTGCATATGAATTTTCAGAATTCATACACATGCCATTTAGCTCAAGATTTAACAGAATCTGTAGCTATAAGGTTCCAATTTCCTATGTAGCAGAAATCAGCCGTGCAGAATTGGTCATTTTCAGAAATGGTATGCGTACTTGAAAGACACCTAGAAAAACAGAATGAAGTCTGCTCTAGCTGTGTGATTCCCAAGCTCTTAAGCATGTGGGACCAGTGTCCAGATAGCTGGAAGACTCCACATACACTGAAGGTTCACTTGGTTCTAATGGGCAGCATGTGTTTAATAGGATTACTTTGAAAGCAGGCACACTTATAAGATAAACTATCAAAAAATCTACTGTATAAACAATCAGATTCTCCAGAATTTGTTTTTATCTAGGCAATAAAGATGATAGTTTCTCTTTATCTAGGAAGAGTTTGTTCATTTTTATACATTATAGATCTGCAGAGAAAGAGAAGCCTTGTTCTAGCACTGCAGCTATGCTTGTAATTTGTACCTAATTTGCACCAGCAGTGTAACTGATCTGCTGGTGCTGTGTGTTCTTGACCTGGCATGGACCCCCAGTGATGAAAAATGAGCCTTTAGTCTACTAACGGGGTAGATTTTGACCTAGGCTGCTGTTAAGTCTTTTAATTTGCAGTGCATTAGAGGCAGGCAGTATGCTGAGATGTGATCCACCAACAGTCCTGTTGGTAGAGATGGTCAACTGGGAAGATGGAATCAAACAGAATATGGAGAGATTTTTGGGAAGGAATAACTGCATGTTTGACTCAGGAGTTTAGTACCTTGATGGAAAAAGTAGAGATGTGTTTGCTGCCTAAAGTGTAGGCTACGGTACTATGAGATTAGTTCTCTCTGCTTTCTTCAGGTAACTTGGGATGTGTAATGAAATTACTTCAGAGACCTTCCTCCTCTTTCTTCCTGTATTTGGATTCTGGATGAGTGTGCATCCAGTGTATTTTGACCAGCATTGCAGTTAAATCCCAAGTTTACAGTCAAACATATACGTTTCTTTTGGTAACAAAACAGCTATTTTCCTCTTTTTTTTCCTGTCAGAAGCAGGTGGAAGCTTTTTATTCCTATAAACTATAAAAAATACAGTGGATCATGATACAGGTCTTCCAAGATTCCATCTATTCATCCTTTGGATCTTAATCTGTGATTTAGTACCTGTGTGACATCACAGAACAGAGGTGCTTGTGCTATAGGATTGTCCTTGGCTCTGGTTCTCCAGCTGTATGACTCCTGCTGGCATATTGACTTTCTTTTGTTCCATGGAATGCTGCCCCCTAATTAGACTGTGTGATCCGTGCAGTACTGACTCCTTATGAGGTTACCTCTGTTTCAAGACTGCTCATCTGCTGCCAAATACAATCTTCTACCTTCTTCCTTTTGCTCGGTTGGTTTGTGCTACTGCTGGCCCTCCATTCATATGGTTAGAAAAGTGAATTTTGGCCTAGGCACAGATGTTCAGGGCTCTGATTAGAGTGGCTCTGACCAGCCTCATACTGGTGCTCACACGGGCTACCTCACTAGCCACACTTAAATTCAGCCCTGGGCCTGCAGTCCCAGTTTGAGCTGCTTTGGAGGCAGCCTTGGTGTGGCTCAGCCTCAGCCCTGGCCCTGGCTAGGACCCTGCTGGTCTGTACCCTGCTCCATGGACTGGCTGCTTGCCTTGGCCCTGGGCTTGCCTTGGCACTACAGACTTCTTTGACCCTGGATCTGCCCTCCCTGGATCTGCCCCCCTGGATCTGCCCTCCCGGGATCTGCCCGTCTCTGACTTGTGGTGGCAGCGGCACAGAGTCCTGGCCAGTGAAAGCACCTGCCTTGCTGCCCTTGTTGGAGCTTGACACCTGACTGCCCATCCCTTTAGGGAGCCCCTGTCACTGCTGTCACTGCTCCCTGACAGTTTTTGAAGGTGGCTGATACTGTTTTATTGCTTTAGTAAAGTAAGCATGAAAAATACTGGCCAGCTTTTGCAGAGCTTTCTCTTTGTCTTTAGCTGGCAGGAGGTGATGCTCATTTCTTGCAAAAGTAGATTTTACAATAATGTTTTTTACACGGTTCCTATCTGCATATTGGCCTAGCATGTGCTACACTTGATCCACTCCTGGGAAGGACTCACAGTGATCTTCAAAGTTCTGTTTTCTTCTGTCTCAAAGAATATCATTAGTGCTTTGAGATTTTTACCCATGTAGAAAATAACAGGTCAGGGAATGTATATGCTGAAAACATGTTCTACCAGGGCTTCTTCCTCTGAAAGAATTTCAGGATTGTTTCCTAGCAAAACTGAAAATTACTATTACATTCACAATCCTACCTGGTTAGTTTTCTCATGGAGACAGCTTGTTCCCATCATTTTATGATGGCATGTTTAATGTAGCTGTCATTTGCCAGCTGGACACTTGGGAAAATGTATGTTACCACTAAAATCTGGTTTCCAAGATTTTAGTTTGGACCTGAAGAGACTCTCCTTTACAATTCTGTTCTCATAGGAGGATTCCTGGAGTAGGTTGTGGTCTATTGTGTTATGCCGTTTGGTACCTTTTTTTTTGGTACTTCTCTGTTTATTTGTTTTTATAATTAAAACAAGTATACTTACATGATCCAGATCTTGTTGTATCTTTAAATTACTTTCTACATGTAGAAGTAGCAACCTTTATCCCTGATGAAGAAGTGAAAGATTTGAAAATACCCTGATTCAAACTCATATTTAGAATGTTTTACCTAGGAGGAGGCCTACTTTTCCCAGGAAATAGATATGCATTATTTGTATGATTTATAATTATTTTGACATAGTTACAGATTATCTTAACTTTTCATGGGTATTTATTTGTTTAATGGACCAACAGACTCAGTCTCATTTCTTATTTTAGGTAAAGTGTCCAAATATAGCACTGGTACCAAGTATAGCTTTATTCCATTTTCATGGCAGTTGCAAAGGAATGGGTTCTAATATTTTAAAGGGTAAGGTCTGCTTTCCCTTTGGGTCTTATTTTTAGTGGCTGCTCATTTGCCACACTTCAACAGGAAACACAGATCCAAATGCCTTGTGTGAAGTTGGGTGATGAGAGGTAGTTTTCTAGAAATATGTCTCTTTTTTCATGCATACAGAACAGGAGATTAAATAGGATCCATCAAAGAACTCTTTTCCTTTTGGTTTCATCACTCTTTTGTGTATAGGAAGAGGAAGAAGATAGTGCGAATAATGTTGAAAAATATGTTATGAAAATACTTAAGAAAATAATATAAAAGTTTAAGAGGAGAACCAGAATATGGTGCTAAAAATATTAATGCCTTATTAGGAAAACAAAGACATTGATTAACAAATGCAGAAATAAAAAATTTTGTCACAAGATGAATGGTAGTCATAAAAATTAGAAGTTCAAAGAATGGTGTCCACTTGCTCTGTAGTCAAAACGTAGTGTTGGTCAGAGGAAGGAATGCCTCATAAATGTCATCTTACTTTCCTTGCACTATGCAACTACTGTCTGGGGAGGCAGAGAGGTGCTCTGAGAACTTGGGATACAAACCAGAATTCTATCATCAAAATACGGAAAATTGGAATACGGCCATGAAAAACGCACATTCTAGCCCAGCCCTGGGCAGGTGATAAGCAGAGGTCCTTTCCTCCCTCTAGCACATTGTAAGGCCAGAAAGGGGAGAGGGATAATAGATTCAGTAGTAAAGAAAAGATTCAAGATGATAAATTGATTTGAGGTTAATATTCAGCTCTTTGAAGTTGGACCTTCTTAGTAAAGTCTGGCTTTGTAATCAAACGTTTTAGCTTTAAGAAGTCAAGAGCAGGGAGAAGAGGAAGGAAATGCTCAGATTTCCTTTTAAGGATTTGAGTGTAGTTTAAAAGCACCGTGCACTGCTGGTACCATGGCAGAAAGAGGAGAAAACTGGATGGTCATGAGGGTAACTTGTTCTTATGGAAGGAACTGACCACTCCCACTGCTGTAACCTACACTGGGCTGACCTAAGTGTAGGCCAGTGTTAGAAACTTGCTTTGTAATGCTGTTCTCACAGGATGTCATAATAGCTTTTCAATGGTGTGTGCTTTCTAAACTGATCTCTATTTCCTCACAAAAGAGAAAGAAAAATAAGAGAAACAGAAAAGAAGTCAAACTTGGAGTGACTTTAGATGACAAACAAGTGGAAAAATGAGGATTGTGCAGTTTAGGACGGGAAGGAAGCAGGAACAGAAGTTGAAAGTTAAGTTGGAAAGTAGTTAACCAATGAAAGTATTAGTCAGGACACAAAGTGACTGTATGGAATATTGATTACAAACTCTTTAAAAGAGCATGTTTGCACAGCAACCCTTTGTCTATTCCATAACTGTACAGTGGGATCAAAAAACTATTAGACATACAGATTGAGAAGTAAATCTCTAGCTTCATTATGTAGGGTAGCAGCAGGAGACATGCTGCTCCATGCAGTGGAGTATTCTGGTAGCCAAACAATATTTCAATTTTAAGGACATAGCTATCCCCTTAAATGCTTTTTTGTGCAAGAAAATTTGTGAAGTCAGCTGCTTCCCTAACAAAACAATTGAGCAAAAGGGTACAAATAAAAGCTGTGAGTTATTTGGAAAGTGTTAGTATTTAATATACTAAATGGAGTTAAAAGCAAGAAAGAATGCTGAGGTGCAGTGGAATATGTGTGAGGCTCTGGGATTTGTTTCCTCCAGAGGTGCTCCACGTCTGGGCTTCCCTTCACAGGGCTCCATGTGCTTAACCCTCAGGCTGCAATCATAGCTCACCCTTTGTCTTCCTCCCCAGGCTGTGGGTTTGGTGTTGTTCAATGGCATCTATAAAAGTCCAAGTACTCCTTGGTCCTTCTTGTACCTGTTGTGATTTCAGCTGCTGAAATCCAGAGTCATTGCGATCGTGGCTCTTCCAAAAGGACTGCAATAGCAAGAACTACTTTAGCTGTAGAAGGCAGAGGATAGGAGAGAATCTCTTGCCCTTTTTCATCACCCTGTCTGCCAGTGAAATGCAGAAAGCAGGGGAGTGGATGTATACACCTTCATGGGGGTAAAGAAATCCCTCAGTGCATCAGCTGCAAGCATTTCCTGAATCCAAGAAGGTAGGATGGGGAAAGGCATTTTTCTTTCTCCATCCTTCTCAAGTACACTTTTTTTTTCCAAGGAAAATGCATTCTTTCAGCAGTCTAAATTACCTGTCTGCTCAGTCACACATAATGTGGCAAGAGACTTCTTTAATTCAAGTGTTTAATTTAACACACACACTATTTTAAAAATAAAATTAAAAGAAAATAACTTCATAGAAGAAATTTTTGAGTAAAGTGTCACAACCAGTATCTTTCAGTAGTTCAGGATAAAGCACAGTGGTAATTTATTTTAACCTTAATACATCTGAATAATTAATTCAGAAAGGAATGCTTCTGGAAAAATGAAATGAGGTAATGATTGGAAATGCCTATCTGACAGCTATAAATATGGCAGCCATCTTTACACATGACTTCATCAACATAAAAATTTTCTCCCTTCTTTCTTTTTTTAAAGTAACCTGTAGATCAGCAACTGGAAAAAAAAATGACCATTTAAAATAAAACCAAAGCATACTAGATTTTCCACTTGATCATGTAATTTGTACTGAATTTCTTGTACATTCAGCCTTTTTCCTCCTCTGTTAAATTTTTACATGGAACACTGAAATAAAAACCTAACACCATTTCTTAAATAGTATTAGAATATGCAGTGTCTACTGCTTTTCCTGTTAGTGATTTCTGGAAGATGGTGTCTGTCCAAAGCAAATGAATGCTATTTTAATTACTTGTTTTAAGAATCAGTTAAAGGTTGGTTGTGCTGTAGCAGCAAATTTGTTTTGGCCTTCATCTTACTTTTAAATAGTTTTTTGGTTTAGGTGTTTCAACTAAGCTGATTCAGTGGCATTGATGTTGCACCTGTAGTGACAAAACATGAATTAATTCTTTTCACTTGTATGCAAAATGCATAGAAATTGTCATTGTCTTGTTCTAAAGTAACTCAGCCTGAAATATGCAGTCATCCTCTCTCCATGTTATCTTGCTTTAAGAATTTGAGAGTTAAACTCTACAAACATTGAGGCTGTAGGAAGTACAAAGGAAGTCTTTAAAAGCTTCTTTTGACTCAGGTTTTTTATTTCTCATGTATTTTATGTCTATTATTACTTTTCTACGTCTGTTATTACTTTTCTATTAGGAATTTGGTCAACTTTCTAAGCTGATATACCTTTAGCAGAAAGCAGTAGCTGTGATACTTTTGAAAAGCTTAACAAACTTGTCCTCTTTGAAATCCAGGTGCAATTGCCTCAGGAGGAAGGTAGTAAGCAAACTTCATAAACTAATTGATATTTACATGCCCTTTAAGACTGACAGTTAATTTTTTCAAAGATGCATGTCAGTACTTTCTTAATAAGGACTGTACTATCTAAAGGTCCTTTTTTTGTTTTGTGTATTTTTATTTCCATGAGTAAGTGATAGGAACTTGCTCCCAAAACATTGTGATGGCTTTTTCTGATTTTGGTTTTTGTTTTTCTTTTTTTAAACTATAATTTTGGACTTTCTATCTCAATTTATACCTAAAATAGTTATGCTATTATTTTTGCTATGTTTCTAAGTAAAAGCAAAGGCGTTTTTATGTTGAAATTACTGACATCTTATTTCTTCCATTTAATTGTTGCCAAGTTATTATGGTTTCTCTATCTGCTGCTGCACAACTTATATCTGAAATAGCTCATCGGTCATAAATTGATTATTTCTATTGCCTAAGTACTTTCATAATCTGTAGTGTAGTGATTGTTGAGGTTTGCAGAGAAGTTCTGATCATGGCTGCAGCAGTATGCTACAAGTTGGGCATAGTGTTAAGTTTCAGGTTGCTCTGTGCTGCAAAGAAAGGCTGTGCTTGTGCTTATGAACCAGCACAATTCATCCAGTTCACTGGGATAAAGCTTGAAGGCACAGGAGCAGTATGAACAGATCTCTTGTCTTAGCATGGAGAACAGAGCACCAGCTTCTGAAATTCAGGGAATTCTGCCTGTATTTTTCACAGAGGAAAAAATTAAATGCATATGGAAAGAATTAGTTATATGACTTACTAAATGGGAATGTAGTACAGCTTTCTGTGCTCAGAAACTCATCCTAATAATATTCAGTTAGGCTTCAGTAAGATTGTTCATTATTTGCAGAAAATATACTGCTCTGTGGAATGATCAGAGAGGAGACTAAAATCACAGATACTCTTCATTTACTTAAATTTGCTTTTCTGCCTGCCATTAAAGAAGATTCACAACTGTGCCTGTGCTATATATTTATTCAGAAAAACTAGTTCATTTTGTGAAGAACAGCAAAACAAGACAGAGTTTAATTTTATGGAAGCAGTAGTATCTGCATGAAGGAGCTTTCATCATCGGAGCTTCTGTTACACACTGCAGTCTGAAATGGTGTGTTCTTTTAAAACTTCTTCAAGCACTAAATCTATTTTCAGAGTATCATACTTGCAGCTCTTCTGTTGGAAGTGTTTTGAACTCCAGTTTAGTTGGCAGTTTGCTCACTATCCTTTTTCCTTTTGTGGTACATCTAGATATTTAAAAAAATATGGAAGGACAGATTGGCTTCCTGACAGGGTTTTGATGGAAAATTTCCTTAAGTTTATTTGGCTTTACATTTTTAGTCTGAAGACTTTGCCATAGGTAACCAGCGTACAAAGTACCTGTAGTGGCAGCTCTGCATTTAGCTGTCAGCACCACGGTATAACCTGCAAACCTTAAAAGGGGAGAAAATACTTCTTTACTGTAGGTCTTGAAGGGAGATGTTGTATTTGTGACAACATAGTAATGGAGAGTTCTCAATGATTTTTGTCAGAAAGTACCATTAAGGTTACAGTGTCAAGTTTTCAGAAGCTGCAGATTTGGGCTGTCAGTCACCATTCTATAGAGTCCCCAGCCTGTGACCATTCAGATCATTTGGGAGAACCACTCTTGAGGTCCATGCTGAGAATCTCATTCTGCCTCTTTAAGTGTTCTGAAGCTTGTACTGCTCCCTCAAGGGGAGTCAGTCACCTGAAGAGGCTTCTTGTGCCCTTGAGAGCCCAGTCCTGGCCAGCCAGCATCGCAGGGCCTCCTCCCTGGCGTGCCCTCGCTCAGCACGGTGCTCGCAGGTACTGCAGTGGTGCTGCCAGGAGCACAGCACTGCAAGGCTGTGTATCAAAAGGGGAAGAGGAGCTGAAGGGTGGTCTGCTGATTTGGGAGGCAGAAATGGGCAGGCTTTTCTGGAGCTGCTGAACAAACACAGCATTGCGAGACAGGTTAGGCAGGAGAAGGTGGGATCTTTATGGGCAGTAGTGGGAGTCTGTAAAAGGAAAGAACTGAGAGGGAAGATGTACAGTGACAATTATGTCTAATTAATAGAGGTCAGATTTTGCCTTGCTGGAGAACCGATATCCAAATGCAAATATAACAGAATCTGGACTTTCAGCAGCAGTGTGAATGCTAGTTTCCTATAGTGCTTTGGGAGTTTGACTGTATTTAATTGCAGTTTTGAGGAAGACTACTTTATCTTTCACCTCTCATATGAGAGGAAAAGACAGGTTGGTGAAGCTAGTTTAAAAATAGCCTGAGGAGTCTGACATACTCAGCTGTGTATACAAAGCTCACCAAATTACAAAAAGAAATATAATACTTAGTAATGGTGTTCCTCTCAATTTCACCAACATTTTTATTTCCTGCCTCCTGAAATGTTGAGATATTTTCAAGTACCTGTATTGTGAGTTCATGTGGTTTACTGTCTGACATATGAGACCAGGTTATTCTTGGGTCGTATTTTTGAGATATCCCCTGGAACCATATGGATAAGAACTATGTATTTACATGAAAGATGAGAATATAGTGTGGTGTTTTGACTTCAGGAGTTGGAACTTTAAGAAAGGCTTGCACTTTTGCTTGCTTAGTCAAAGCAGGTTATTTGATGGGTTGGATCATTATAAATCAAAATTTCTTCAACTATAATACACAAATGAAAGAGAGACAACATCCATATCCTACTAGGATTGCTCTAGGAACAACATCCATATCCTACTAGGATTGCTCTAGGAACAACATCCATATCCTACTAGGATTGCTCTAGGAACAACATCCATATCCTACTAGGATTGCTCTAGGAACAACATCCATATCCTACTAGGATTGTTCTAAAAGAAAGAGATCCGTTTCAGGAAGCAGTTGTGACACTCCAGAGAGCAAATGGGCACCTGGGTTCCCCTGGGCTGCTGCCCTGGGGCCAGGGATGAGAGGCAGCAGGTTCTGACTGATAAGGGAGGATCAGGCTGTTCGGGTAGCAGGACTGTGCTGGTGTAGGGCTGACTGTAAAACCATAGGTTGCTTCCTGGTTATGTTTTAAGTTGTGATCTATGTTTTATATAGTTGTTAATAAAAGGAGGTGCTGTACCTTTAAGTAGCACATGCCGTGTAACCATCAACGGGCATCCCTTGCAGCAGCTTTAGCCTGTTTCTCCAATCATGCCTGCCTAAGTCAATAACGCTTTGCCAAAGCTCCTCGTGCATTAAAGGTTACCGTTTAGCTTGTTCCATGAATCACAGCAGATGCATAACTTGGCAGTGACCATTTCTGTCCCTCCCCTTCTTCGCTTCGTACTGACTGCAGCCCCCCAGCTCAGTGCTGGCCGAGCCCCCTCCCCCAGCAGGGAGAAGTCATTACATGAAGAGATCAACTTACCAGTTGTCTTCAGAGCAGTGGCTGAGAGCAAAGCTCCTGGTCGGACCGTGAGTGCGAGAGAAAGGGGGAGAGGGAGACAGACTCGTACCTACAAGAGCTCAGGGCTGTGATCCTGAGACACAAGTGCATCTGCTAGCTGTTAGTACTTGGCAGAGGGTTTGCTCCTCCAGGGTAGCTCTAACTTTGGGTAATAATGTTTGTCAGCTACCTGATACTAACGTTGCTCTGCTTTCAAACAGCAATGTTAGCAAGACCTGGGGGTGAGGTAAGCAAAGTACAATGTCTTGTCAAAAATCGTCTTGTCACGGTTGCATTTTTTTCATATCTGTTAAGATGGACTGTGAATGATTTTTATGCTGTTAGGCGTTTTAGAATTGTGTTGTTTGTGTAAAAAGCTTTTGCTTTGGTTTAGTTTTGGGGGTTTGTTTTGTTCGGGGGATTTTTGTTTGCTTTTTTGCTTTGGCTCTGTTTGGTTTGGTTCCTTTTTTTCTTTGTAAAAGCCAAAAGGTACTATAGGAGAATAGTTTGAAACTTAACTTCTCTGGATTTGATATACAATACGCTTTCTGTGAGAGATGACTAATTTGTGAATTTTTCTTTACTAACATACAGAGAAATATGATACTCTGCAGCAGTAGATGGTATTGTTTTGTTCATATTTTCTGCAAAAATGTGCGCTAGTGAAAAATTTTTTGCACAGGATGAATTTTGGGGATGTGAGCATGTAAAAACTCCAGGCTTCATTACTTTAATAACATTCTTTTTGTGCAAATACATGTAATGTTTAGTCTGGGGCAGGGCACAAAGAACTTGAGTTTTAAAAAACTCTATATCATACAATCAAAGAGGGACTTTATGTGTTCCTAATATTCCTAATTCCTAAATCTTCAACAGTGGAATGGAACAGCTCTTTATGTGCTTTAAAAAGTTGCTGCTTGATTTATGAAGAGCCATTTTCCAGATTTTTGTCCTCATCAGAGCAGTTTGTCATCAAGTACTTATTTCATACCAAAGCAGAAATTTTCTGCTACTCTTTTGCCATTTAGGAAATAACTTAGCAGGCGTGGTACTATTTGATATAAAATATTCCATCTAATGAAATTACTTGCAAAAAACACATCTGATGCTCACTCTCCCTTGCTCTACCTGAGATGGGATGTGTAGCTGTGCATTTTAAACAAATCATTGGATAAGTTTGTTCCATAAATATGCCTTCCTTAAGTAAATCTTCTGAAAACAGTGATTCTGCTTTAAAGCTTTATTGGTGCTGTCATAACTTAATAGTAGCCTAATGAAGTCCAGATCAATTATTTTCCCTGGTAAAGGTGTAAGTGAACTGGAAAAAACACCTTGTCCAAGACTGTGTGGAGCTATCTCTGTAGCTCACACGTCTAGAAATAAACTTTATTTTGCTTCCAGGGTGTTTTAATAAGAGAATCTGTAACAGCTTTGTTTCAAGAAAATGTCTCTTAGTGAAATCTTGTGCTGCCTTTGATCTAGTTAAAGCAGGGAAAGGTTTTCAGCAGTGTCTCAACAAATTTAAATGGTTTGATGATCACAGCAACTGGAAGCTGATCATTGCCCTCTAGTTGTCACAGAAGTTTTTAACTTCCTGGTTGATTGTTACGGAGCACAGAAAATGATAGATGGACTCACCTTGTTCAGACCGTGGGACCTTAAAATCTGTGGTGGCTCATATGGAAAATATTTCTGTCACCACTGCGTGCACATGTGGTCTTCAGAGATCCATATAAAGAACAAATCTAGAGCAGCAGCAGTGCTGCCTGCCAATTATCCTCGTTAGCAAGTAAAATAAAAGCAATGCTGTGTTCTTACCTGGAAATTAATTTCTGCTGTAAAAGTGCAGTGTGGAATGTTTTAGCACTGTGATCCATATGCCAAGTACTTTAAACTGGACTGTTTTTTCTTAGTTTTTCAGCTAATACAGCAGACAGAATATAAAAAAATTGGCCTGTTGCTTTATCAATGAATTTTAGGTTGTAGATTTTAGCATAGGTAGTGAGAAGTTTTCTCCTTTATTATGTTAATAGGCCTAATTTCGGAATTTTATAATAAAAATATACTGTTGTCTACTGTTATTAATATAATATTTCTTTGTCCTGTATTGTAAGAGACCACCCGATAATGTTGTGCATTTCCCTGCTCCAGCTGCAGAACCTTGGCTACATAAATATTATTTCTCTAGGAAATTATTCAGTAAAGATTTTTCACTGTGGTTGAGTGAATTGAAGACAGAGAAAATAAGTGAGAAGCCATTTTTGAAAGGAACCTGAATTGTTGTTTTGTGGTCCTTTGAACTGTTTTGTATACTTCTCTGAATATTTTAATTGATATATAGGTATGTATTTTTAAAAGTTCTGCTCATAAAAGTGTCAGTTTTTGACAGGTTATGAAGTCAGTGGGAAGTTGCTTTTCTTGCCAGCTTGTTTTGTCTGTATTTTAATGCTGAACTTTACTGTTCAAGAAACAGAAAATAACAAACATTCAAGTATGTTTTTCCCCATATAATTCTTAAGGAACCCCTAACACTTGTTCTAATGTGTGTATGATTATGTTGTGCTTTTCATTTGTTGTTGATTTAAGGCATGACTTGGCATGAAGTCAGTGAAACTACATTGCATCACTTTTCCATCCAGGGAGGAAATAAGGTTGTATAGATTTGCAGCTTGCAGCACATTTGTATGGCCAAGCCCAGAGCTTGTGTGTGTGTGCTTCTCAGCAGATGAACATGCTGAGCTCCTAGCAAAACCATACTTAATCAAGCTTTCCCTCTTCTCACGTCTTTGATCTGGTGGTTTAGAATCAGCTTTAGCAGGAAAATCGTTGGTTTCAGTAGATACATTGTGCTTGAGAAATCTTGGAGCAAGCAGGGAGTTTTCCTGAGGAATAGCTTATCCCTGTATTTTCAGGTATTCCTAAGTCTGTCATTATTCTTCACTCAAAAGCAGGTAGCCTTTTAAACTGTTTTACCAGAGTACTTGTCAAACATTTGCATTTGGGAATTTCACATGCCTTGGGATTTTAATTGTTTCAACTGAATTTTCCCATTTTAGTAGCTTCTTTAATCCCGTACAAATTGACCATAAGTTGGTAATGTCAGCCCTCTCTGCCTCAGTACAGGTGTCAGTGAAGGTGTGCAAAGTCATCAGCCTGGCCTTCTCAGCAATAAAGCAAGACTAAATTGTACCATTCTGAGTTTGGTTTGAATTGTTTTCTATTACTTTAAAAAAAAAAATCAGTCTAGCTGACAAAATGTGTGGACAATGGGAAGGAAACCTCACATATAACTTCTGTGTTGATTTGATCTGTATTTTAATGGGATAAGTAATCATAATCTAACTAATCATCAATATACATAATATATGACTTAACACAGAACTTTCAGCATGTTTAAGTGAACAGGAACAGGTTTTAAGATACCTAATTCTTTTCAGTCCTTGAGCAGTAGTAGTTCAGATAACAGCATGTTTTGCCACATTAATCAAGCTGTTTATAGAAGCAAGAGTTTTGTTTAAATTTGTAGATACTGTTCAGCTTCAGAGTATTGAATACTAGATGCTGTTCAGCTTTCTTCATAAAGTAGTTCAACATGAAGTGTAGAAGATACTAAACAGTGTCCTCAAGAGTTGTTTTAATATATTTTTATTATAAATAAATTTTCACAGATGTGGAATGTTTCCCTTTGGAATTCGGGCATAGAGGGGGTGAAAAAGTCACGCTCCACCCTCTAAAATGAGTAGAGGGAGCCTGAGCAACTCTGAGATTCTTGGTGTGCTGCAGACACTGCTGGTTCTCATCTGTGGCTCGTGGGCCAGCAAATGGAGCAGTTGTTCCACACAGTGTCCCTAGCTGATAGACCAGGAATAAACAGACAGGAGTGCAGAGGGAGCTTATTGCTGTGGAGCTCCTGTTCATTTCCACCTCCACACTGCTCAGCCTCCCTGCAGTGTGTGTAGCTTGTCCACAGGAACCAGAGAGGCAAAGCAAACTTAGCAGCATTTTAAAAGATTATTCACTGATCAGGGTCAGGAGTCACAATCCTCACTGCACAAATGCAACCCATTGCAAGAAATAGCTCAGTGTTCATCCCAGGGAACAGCTCAGTGTTCATCTCCTTGTTGTTACTTATTTTTGTGTGGAGCAAAAAGCAAGAATACAAAAAACCCCCAAACAAACCCAAACACAAAAGCCTGCAAACACCTTCGTTACTTATTTCTGTGTGGTACAATATGAATGGAGCTCTCCCATGTTGATCTTGCTCAAGCAAAAAGCAAGAATACAAAAAACCCCCAAACAAACCCAAACACAAAAGCCTGCAAACACCTTGAGGTCACAGTCCTTTTGACCCTCTTGACTGACTGTTCTCTTGTCAAAGAGGAGCTCTCTTTCCTGAGGCTTACTGGAGTAAAATTTCTGACCTTACTCAGCTGAGTCTTCCAGTGTTCTGTGGTCAGACCTGCTGCACTTGTGAAGAGGCAGGGAGCTCCCCAGCAGGTCACATCTGCAGCAGCTAATGTGATTTTGGCCAGTTCTGTGAAAGGGCTGCATGGAGAATGAACATGGTAATGCTTGTGCTGCATGACTGTTGGTGGTCTCCATTTATTGCATTCAGCTGTAGCTTACCAGCCATACTGGACTGGCCATAATGGCTGTTGTATCTGTGGATTTTGTCATCTTCAATTTTTTTATCCTTATGAGAGTCCTGTGAGGTTGTGCTGTTACACAGCTGTTACTTGTAAAGTCCTGGACCGCATAGGTAAAATACAATTCAGAGGCTCAAAACATTATCAGTAAGAGCAACTTTTACATATGCTTGAAAAATCAACCTTTCTAGCACATGGATGGTTTTGTATCTGAGCACTGTCTCAAAGAAGCTCTGTGTGGCCAGGAGATGAACTAGTTCAGTTGTGTCTGCCCAGTCACCAGGATCGAGTTGAGCTGATGCCACACCTTCAGTCATGGGCAGGGAGCTCATGATGCAGCCCAATAAAACAAGCATTTCCATCTCTGACTTCCACAGGGCCAGCATATAAGAAAACATCGTTTCTCCCACTGACATACAGGCAAAAATAATTCCTCATCTCTGTACCTGAGTGTTTCCATTTGCAAG